GTGTTATGGGTTATATACTTTCTTGATAACGTTTTTTCTGTTTATAAAACTCGTTTTGAAGTTTGTTTAATCTATTATTCTTAGAAATATCATTATTCATTTTGTAGAACAGAAATAAAACTAGAGCGAGTTGTTTATCTTCATGTGTATTTGACATTCATGGATTTTACCAAACTGAAGAATATCAACCATTTCCATTATCATATCTAGAAGGACCTTATCCATTACAACACCCATATTATTGTGGAATATCATGTTTTTTGAAAAGTTATAATTCACCAATGGTACATTATTCTAGTTATCCAACACAATATGATAATGATGATATTTGTTGGTCTAAAGAACCTCCTAATGATTTTTTAAGGATTTATCCAAAACCATTATTCATTTCAATTCATCACCCAAACACAGCAGTATTTTATCCTGGATTTCAAACAATACAATATTATAATCCACAAGACTTTGAATATTCAAGAGGAATTGAATTTGGTAAATCTACATTCTTCATATTTTATGATGTTTCAAGTTCTAATAGTAATTTTAAGGAAAAACGAAATGGAGTATCACTTCTTATTAATTCTATTAGTCCATTACAACAAGTTCGTTTAGTTATTTTTAATAATGAAGCTAGAGTATTACAAGGATTTATGGATATTACTCATAGTTCAATCTATAGAATGTCTGATAATGTTTGTCAATTTACTACATATGGAGGAACAAAACCAAAAGAACCTTTTTTATTGATGAGAAATTATATTCTAGAATATAATTTAACAGGAAACGATGCACATATTATCTTTATTAGTGACATGAAAGTATATCAATCAAAGAAAACATTACATGAATCTATTAGTTTATTAAGAAATAGAGTGAGACAACATTTCAATAGTTTTCAATTACATATGTTAGATTCATCTGAAGATAATATGGGAAGAAGTGATTGGATGAAAGAATTTGCATGTGAATTTGATGGACATTATCTTCAATATCGAGGAAATAAAGAACAAATAATTCAGACAATGCAAAAGTTTATTCATATATTAAAATATAGAATGAATGCTCTTCCAGTTGGAACACAATTTCCATTTGTGAAATTAAGAGATGTTGATTATGGTACCTTTTATCCAAGTGGTGTCGCTATAGTCAAACCATATTATGTTGATGTTCATTTAATTGATACTCTCTTTCCCATACGTCATGCATGGACATTTACGGCTATATTTTTGCCAGGAGCAGTTACTCGCTCATATATAGGAGATGGAGATCCTAATTATTATCCATCTCCTACAATTGATAGAGTAAGAAAGTATGTTTTAGATACTAAAATTGGATATCAATGCGATTCATTCAATGAATTTAATAGTGAAGAACAAAAACTAATTGTTGATAGTCTTAATGGATTTGACTATGATTGGAGAACAAAAACAGAAATTAAATTTTGTCAATATGACCGTTTGATCAATGAATCAGATAGAACAAACCAAACGTATTTTTGTTATCAAACACCAACTTGTCCCAACGTTGATTCTTTTTCAAAACAAGAATATAACTTTCAAATTCAAAAAATTTGTTCATCTGAAATGATATCAATTATTCTTGTGTTGTGTATTTTATTCTTTTTTTATTAATTGAATAGTTTTTTCTTATTAAGTTCTATTTCTACACTACAAGAATGCCATGAAAATCATATAGAAATAATAATATGCACCAAGAAATAGATTTAGAAGACATTATCAATGCTATAACTATAATCATTATCAACAAAATAATAACCATAATTACTTTAATAATAATTATCATAATTATAAATACCTAGTACATTCTCAAATAATCACAGTTATAATAAAAAGAAAAGTAATTATTATAACCACAAATACCATAATACAGGTAAAACGATTAATCAATATTATTCTGAGAATAAATAATGTAAAAGATTAGAAATAAAATTTACAAGAAAAGATAATGAAGGAGAGACAAAAGAAAATAAGAAAATAATCGAAGAATGGATGAAAAGATTTGAGGGGATAGAAAAGATAGTGAAAGAGAAATTATGTTAGAATGAAGAAGAAATATACATGGAAATTGAAGAAAAGAAGAAACAATAAAAGAAACAATACAAGAACAAGAAAGGGATATAGAAGAGAGATATAAAAGATATGAGAGAAAAGGAAATACAAGTAGAGCATGAAATAGAAATAAAAGAAATGGAAAGAAAAATAGAAGAAATGGAGAAATACAAAAGAAAGAAGAAGAAATAATGAAAAAAGAAAGAAAGAAGAAGTGAAGAAGAGAGATAATGAAATAGAAATAGAAAGAAGAAAAAACAAGGAATTAGAAGATAAATTAAGAAACAGAAAGAAGAAAATAATAAGATTGAAACAATAAAAGAAAGTTCAATTATCAAATCATCAGAAGAAAAAGAAAACAACATCAATGAAGAAAATATCAAAGATGTAAATTTTAACAAAGTGAAGAAGAAGAAAACAATGACAAAAACAGAAGCACCAAAGAAGTGGATCGATTGAATAATTATAGAAGAGAAGAAGTAGATTCTATCAAAGAAGAATCCAGGAAGAAACTAAAATAAATACAAGAATGAGTAATTCAAAACATGAGAGAAGAATTACTAAGAATGACATTAGAAGAACTGGAGAAGATAAATTGGAGAGAATATCAATATAGAAGAAATAATGAAGAACAAAAAAACCATCAGAACAAGAAGAAAAGAAGATAAAAAAGTTATTAATGTTATGATTAAATATAATAAATATTAAAATGAAAATTAGACATTATACAAATTAAAGAGATAATAGAAGAAAGAAGAATAAAGATAAATAAAGAAGAAGAATATATAGAAATGAATAAAAGATGAATAGATGAAAGAAATAATAAAAAGATAATAGAAATAACAATAAATATAATGAATAATTATACATCAAATCAATTCAATAAACTAAAATAAATAATGATAAACCACATAAAAGATGAAATAGATAATAATAAAATGAAATAATACAAGAAAATAAAGAAAAATAAATAAAATAACATATATTAATTATTATTTGAATAAAAATATATGTAATGAAATAATTAAATATATGAATGAAGAATAGAAGTGTGAAATTGAAAATATAGAAGATATCAAAAAAGAAATATATATAAAATAACATATTGTATTTCTAAATATCAATAAAATAATTTTATAAGATATCGAAATGATGAAATTAATAATCTAAGAAGAAGATCAAATAAATTAAACTAATTATTAAATAACAAGAAATACACTAGAATTAAAATAATAAGAGAAATAAATAATACAATGATGAATATATTAATAATGAAACATGAAATTAAACAAATAAAATATTTAATTAATATAAAGAAGAAAAAAATAGAAATTAATAAAGAAGATAGAAGAAGAAAAAATAAAATAATGATAAGAAATGAGAAGAAGAATAAATAAAAAAGAAATGAAGAAATAGAATATCCAAGTGATGATGATAAAATTAAATTGTTGAAATTGATATTGAAAGGTAGAAATAGACATTAATAATAAATATATAATAGAAGAATCATAGAAGAAGGAAGAAAGAAGAGTAATAACAAGAGAATTAAAATATCAATAGATGAAATAGAATATGCCCTGAAAGAATGCATGGAAAGCACCTGAAGTTGATTGAATACAATGATTTATTTGAAGTATCTAACTGGGTACAGAGATAAAATACTAGAAATATTCTAATCATTGTTAGAATACCAACAAAATATCCCCATGTAGTGGTATTGGAAAGACATCATTAATTTACAATTGTGGTAATTCTAAATCACCAGAAAACTATAAACAAATATATTGTCTTAATGTGATAATGAAAGTATTCACATCATTCATTAAAATTAAAATCACACACCAACTACAAATAAATGATGTTGAATACAAATAGATAAAAATCAAATAATGTGTAAAGAAAGGTGATTATCAGCAAAAGAATGCATCATTAAAAGTTATCTAAGAATGCAAGAAATGGAAGATAACAAAAAAAATTCAATGAGATATTCTATGATATAAAGAATACATATGATTGTGTGAATCATCAATGGATAATATATTTATTAAAATATTTTAATATTAATAATACAATATGCCATTTAATTGAATGTATGTGCAATAGATAGTGAATTAAGATGGGGTATACATATAATAATGATTTAGAGTATGTTAAATTAAAATGTGAGATATTACAATATGATTCTCTCCATTGTTATTTATTATCATATCAGATAATTAAATGATATTGATATTAATTCAATCAAATAGATCACACTTTATATTGATGATTTAAAAAGCATATGTGATTCGAAGAAAGTAATTGAAACAATCACATCAAAATATTAATGATGTAATTAAATGAATATTGATTAAAGTAAATATTAAAAAATGTTGAGTAATTAGAAAATAAAATATTACAATCAATGATAACATGATTGAATCACAGTTGTATATGAATCAAATTCATATAAATATCAATGCGTATTCAAATATGAGAAGAATAATGATGTAAAATGCTTAATAAAATAGAAAATAATATGATAGTAAAATATATTCATCAATAAATTGAATGAAAGTAATAGAAATTAAATCAATACAATTAATATGGAAGTTATCATGATTTTCAGATATGCTGCATCTGTGATCCATTGACCAATCACTAAATTAGATAAAATTGATCTATACATTAGAAAGAAGATGTAAGATGCAAATATCAACTCTAAATCATTAAGTAAAGATTATATATTAATAAAGATAAATTAATTGATTGATTAATGATATTAAGAGATGAATATGCATTAGAATTAATAAGAATTATAATGTATTATGAAATAAAAGAAGATAATGAAATAAAAGAAGATAATGAAATAAAAGAAATGATGAAAATAATTAAGAATTGAATTTTGAAGAGATTTTATAAAAACATGTGGTAAAAGAGTTAATAAATGAATTTAATGAAATATTTTATTGTTACAAAATAAAAATGAATCATCTATAATAATAAAATATTTAAATAATAATTTAATGAAATATTAATAAATTGAAATTAAATATTAAATATTCATTTAATAAAATATTTTAAAAATGAAATGAATGATATGAAATTAAAAATTAAAATAATGATGAATATTAATATAAAAAGAAATTAATATAAATAATTAAAATTAATGTAAGAAAATGGTACATTTATATGAATTAAGAAAGCATTGATTACAGGAAATAATAATTTAAAATAGTATTTATAATAATAAAATATCGTCAATTGAACATATATTATTAAATTGTATTGTAAATAAGAATATATAAATGGAAAAGTATGAATTAATAGGAGAATATATCTGGAGATGTGATAATTTAAAATATAAAATAAATACAATGAATTATGAATAAATAGAGAAGAGAACAAGAGAGAATAAAATGAAATTAATATCAATAAAAATGAAATAAGTAAATTCAAAAGAAGAATTGAAAATAGTGAAGTATTCATAGTATGGAATCAAGAAATAGTTAATAAAAATGAATATTTCATAAAAGATCAGATATTTATATATAATATAAAATAAAATAAGTATGAATAATAAATGATATGACAATAATATGTGATAAGAAGATAATTCTAGCATTTACTAACAAACTTGAAATATATAGAATTCTCCATTTCAAAATAATACAAATTAATAAACAAAATGAATGTAATCAAGTAGTAATAATAATAATAAATGGATTAATCAATAAAGAATCAGTAAGAATGATTAAATAACAAGGTATAATAAATGAATATGAAATAATAATAAAAGATTTAATAATTAAAAACATGAAAGACTTAATGAAATACTGTGGAGACCATGGAAGTGAATATAGAGAGATAGAAGTACCTCATGAACAAGACTATGAAGACAGTGAAGGGATAGGATGTAACCTCAAATAAACAAAACCAAATAGAAAAAAACAAGAACTACTGATAATTAATTTATTAATTTTTATATTGAATAATTTTTTCTTTGAAAAAAACTTTTATTTACAATAAGATGAGTCAAATACAAATCACTTCATCACCAACAGTAATAAATTTTTCTCCATCAACACTTTCACAAGGAATGGAATGCACTACTACTAATTTTAGTACTAACACTATTGAAGACTCAACTTGGATTCAATCAGATATGCAAAAGATATGGGACGATTCTGATCCATGGATTAGTCAAATCCTTTCCCTTCAACAAATAAATAACCAAAACCAAACACAACAAGTAACACTACAAACACAACAACCATTTCAGAATATCCAACAAGTCTATACCCAACAACAACCAAATTTATTTAATAAACAATTAATACAAATGGCAACACACCAAATGGTTATTGACCATATTAACCAACAAAATGAAATCATTTTTGAAAATGAATTGACAAAGGTATTTGATAGTATTAAAAATTCAACAAAAGATATAGAATTAATTAAGTACAAATGCAAAGAATTAATTAGTTCTATTTATCTTCAAAATAACCCAAACATTAATCAGAATAGAGTCGTCAAAATGATTCATGATTATGCATTTAGTCAAACAACAGAATCAGAACAATCTTATAATGATAATAATAAAATTAAAAATGAAATAAAACAAGAAGATTTAATTGATAATAAATTGATAAAAAAACAAAAAAAAATTAAGGAAGAACAAAATGAACAAAAAACTCATGAACAAAATGAAACTAGTAAAAACGAAAATAATTGTTTATTAATTGATGGATGTGATTATCCATTTGTATACGAAAATCCTTATTTAAGTGATAAACAGTTGGATAGTAAGATTCATGAATTGGACATAATTGATAAATCAGAACATATTTTAATTATTGAGGCATCTTTACAAAGAAATAAAGATCAAAAAAAATTATGGATTCAACTTGCTATCAAATTAAATTATGAAGAACGAGATGATATTGCATTAAAAGCATTAAAAGAAGCAGAAAAATGTACAGATAATCTCAATGATGAAATGAAAGAAATATATTATGAAAATTCTTTATCTATATTATTCAATACTGATAACAAAAAACTTATCTTATCTAATATTCAAAAAAAGTATCAATTAACTACTATTTCTTTACAAAATGAATCTGTTGAACAAAAAGGATATAACATTCTTCAAGAACTTGAATCTATTAATAATAACCAATGTTTATATGACAAAGCTATATTGAATTTAATTATTGGAGATGGAGAAACTGCTGCTCACTACTTTGAACAATTATGGGAAATAAAAGGAAGTATAGAGTGGAATAGAATTGGGGTTGCTTATGAATTATCATTTAGACATCAAGAAGCAATAAATTGTTTTTTGAATGCACTAGAAATTGACCAACAAAATGCACGTATACATAACAATTTAGGATTATCATATCAAGGATTGAATATGTGGACAGAAGCAGTAGAGCATTATTGTGAGTCTTTACTCATTGCAGAAGGAAATGATACATGGGACCTTCTATATGTAGGACTACTTATGTGTGGATATGATGACTTAGCAGAGAGATGTAAAGAAGAGAATAGAGATTCCATGGTAATATCTGATGTATTTGATAGGATACATACTAATTGAATGAACCAAAATATTTAAATTTAAAAAAATATTCAGATTAAGCAACAGAAAAACGAGTTGGGATTGGATCATTGGTACACTTGTTTTGAATTGATCTTAAATATGTTTGAGAAACAGGTTCAGGATCCATTTCATCAGTATGGAAATTAGATAATAATTGATAAATGATATTTACTGATAATGATGGGAAAGTTGTTTCCAAGTCATTTACAGCAATAACATGATGTAAAATAAATACATTAGCAATATCAGTAATTACATTCATTTGAGAATATTGACCTTTAATTGATTGAAATCGTTTATCACAACTATACATATCCATATATGACATAACATATTTTATTTGAAATCCTTTACTACAACAAATTTTTTCTGGTTGAGTAAATAAAGTATCTAATACATAATAAGCAAGGAAATGATATAATTGTTTAATTATTAAAGAAATAATTTCTTCTTCAATTCCTTTCTCTTCTATTACATCATAAATATGTTTAATCATTTCCATTATTTTAAAAGCATTAACTTGTTCAATATCATTTGTATTATTTTCAAAAACACTTCTATTACTAAATATACATGAATCTATTAAAGGGGTAATATCTTTTCCAATATTTTCAATATATTTTGATATAATAAATTTTCTTGACTCTTCCTCTGTATACTTATTTAACATTTCAATCATTTGTTCATTACTAACAGTTCCTTCAAATAATTTTTTAACTTCTTCTATTTCTTTTGGTTTTTCTTCTTTAACAGTTTCTGGTTCTTCATTTTGAATTGGCTGTACCTGAGGCGTTTCAATTCCCTCGATTATTTCATCCTTCTCTTCTCCTTTTGGTTGTGTAGTTTCCTTAGGTGGTAACTCATCTAAAAATTCTGGTTCTTCATTCTTAACTGACTCATCTCTTTCTTTCATTTGTTTTTGTCTTAATTCTTCTTCTTCTTTTTCTTCCCTAGCTTTCATTTGTTGAATTAATGAAGCATGAATTGGATCTAGTCCTTGATTTGTTGAGTATTCTTCTTCACTATCTAATACAAAACATTCAGTATTTTCAGAATTACCAGTCGAGACTCCTTGGGTACTTGTAATAGAAATTAGTAATTTAGCTTTTAAAGTTTTTCCTTTCGCTCTCATTTCACATATAATATTTTCTGTTTTTCCATCTAAATCAGCAAATTGGGCTAAATCAATAACACCAGAACAAATCTTTTTTCCACTCGTACTTTCTAAAATAAATTGAATTAATTTTTCTTCATAATACCCAGCCTTAGCTTTTTCAAATAAAGTACAATGAAGATTAATAGTAGCACCAGTTATATCTGTTTTTGAATCTGTTATTAGTATTGGATTAAACTTTCCTTTATTACTTTCTTTTTTACCTCTTCTCCATCTTAATATTACTTCTTTTGAACTACCAGCAAAATCACATATTTTATCAATACTAATGACATAATCTTGCTTACATTTTTTCTTAAACATATTGAAAGCCATTAATAGATAGTAATTAGAATGAAATAATTAGTCCAATCACTTTTGTATGACACGTGTCCTATTTTAAGACTTTTTTATTTAGTTAGTGGATTATAGTTTCATTTACTATTTTTTTAATAGTTTCTTTTTATTTTCTATTTTTAGAGTAATTAAAAAACAAAAATGTTTTTTAAATTCTTAATTATTTTAGCTTTTAAGTAGAAAAGAAAAACAAAAAATAATAAAAAGAAAAACAAAAAATAATAAAAAGAAAAACTAAATTGATTCTTTTAAATGAAAAGAAGTGAAGCACCAACTGATTCATCTCCTTTTCATCTTCCTGAAAATCAACCAAATAAAGAAATTAAAATTGAAGACCCAAAAGAAAAAGAGGAAGAAAAAAAAGAAAGAATTAAAAAGTTTAAAGTTGCAGTAATATTTTCATATGTAGGAAGAGGTTATTTTGGGTTAATGTATTTAAATAACAACCCTAAAACTATTGAAGGTGAAATAGAAAATGCAATGTATAAAGCTAAATGTATTTCTGAAGATAATAAACATGATTTAAAGAAAGTCGGATGGTCTCGTTGTGCAAGAACTGACAAAGGTGTCTCAGCAGCAAATAATTTAATTTCATTAAAAATGGGACTTGATGGAAATTACATTGAAAGAATTAATTCTTTTTTACCAGAAACTATTCGTATTCAAGATGTTGTAAAAGTTAGTCATTCATTTAATGCTAAAACTCGAGTTGATTCTCGTACATATGAATATATTTTTCCTTCTTATGCTATTCAAAAAATTGATAGTGAGCATCCAGAAATTAATGTAGAATATAATCCACAACAAGAAGATGTTGACTATTTTAATTCTGTAATTAGTAATTATGTTAAAACTCATAATTTTCAAAATTATACTTTCAATACTAAAGAAACTAAAGCCGATAGTAAATCTAATAACAGATATATTATTTCTATGTCTGCTCAATTAGTTCAAAGAAATGGACTTAATGTTATTGCAGTTTCAATTCATGGCCAAAGTTTTATGTTATGGCAAATTAGAAGAATGATAGGATTTGCTATTGTATTAACAAATTTTAGACTCCCAATTGAACAAATGAATGAAATTATGAAAACATCATTTACATTAATTAATTGGCGTTCAGTTATTCCAACAGCTCCAGCCCATGGACTTTTCCTTGACCAATGTCATTTTGGAAATCATAATGAACGTCTTCAAAGAGACACTTCAAATACTTCAAAGACAAACATTAATAGTGAAGAAACACTCAAAAAATGTATAGAATTTAAAGAAAAATATATTTGGACTGATATTATTAATTTTGAAAAAGAAGAACAACCATTTGCTAAATACATGAAAGAACAAGTTAATTATAATAAAATTTATGATGTATTAACTGGAAAAGTGACATTAGAATATTATAATTCTATTCATAAACCTTCAATGCAAACAGTTTTATCTGAAGAAGAACAAGATGAAAATTAATTTAATTATTAACTCATTTAATAATTTTGTCATTATATAAAAGATAGAGAGAAAAGTATGAAATCAATAACAGCAACTTAATTTAATTAGCATCATTACCAGCATGATTGTTCTTTCTCTTTCTTCTTCCATTAATTTCTGGATTAGTTAATGGTGTATTATCAGCTAATTGAATGAGTGGTTCTGATTCAACTCTAACAAGGAAGGATGGAACATCAACAACTTGTTTACCAACTTTAATCATTTTTCCTCTAATAAGAACTCTAGCATGGTGAATGGATTTAGCAAATCCTTTTCTGTAAACGAGAGTTTGAAGTCTTCTTTCAAGAAGATTTTCTTCTTTAAGAGCAAGAACAAATTCCAACTTGTTTTGGTCTCTTGGAAGAATACCAAGGTTATGAAGTCTTCTAAGAAGAGCTGCACCTTCAAGAAGTCTCTTTGGATCTCTAGCATCTTTCATTAACATAACTTTAGCAATAGTTCTCATATGTCCAAGCATATAGTGAACACGTTGAATTTCCTTTTTATTTTTCAATCCAAATTGACCAACAAGTTTAAGTTCAGCATCAAATCTTTCTCTTTCATATGGTACCTTTGGTGTTTTATAAGTAATACTATGATTTCTCAAACAACGTCCCATTGCTGTTGTTGTTAGTGTTTTTTCAAGATTTCTCAACGGTTAGGGTTCAATAGTATTTCTTTAATTTAAATTACTAATTTTTACTATAATTAGAAAAAAAATTTAGTCTAAAATAACATTTTATTATTTTATAAAATTAATGATATTAATTTTTATGTTATTGAAAGAACTTTATCGAGAGATCTTAAAAAGAGACCAAGAAAATGACAGAAGAAGCCTTTGCGATAGATGTTGAAGATAAACCAATTAGAATATTGACATATAATATGTACCTTAGACCGATGTTAATATCAGCAGCTGGACATGACCATAAAGACTCGAGATTGAAAATGTTTTGTAAGGAACGATTAAAAGATTTTGACATAATTTGTTTTCAAGAAGTCTTCAAGGAATTAAATTGGAGAAGAGAAAAATTATTAAAAAAAGCTAAAAAGGCTGGTTTTAAGTATCGAATTCAAACAGAAAAACCTTTATTTCCATTATTCCTTTGTGACGCTGGGTTAATTATTATAAGTAGATTTCCTATTGTAGAGAGTCAATTTAAATTATATAAAAGAAGTATTTATGCTGATGCTGTTGCTTCTAAAGGTGTTCTTTATGCAAAAATTGAATTACAGTCTAATAAATATTTACATGTATTTAATACTCATACACAAGCAGATTACACTTTAGACCCAGAAAAAGCTAAACCTTCAAGAGACGTACGACTAAATCAAATCAGGAAATACGCTAAATTTGTCCAAAAGAAGTGTAGGAATGATACATTTCCTGTTATTTGTTGTGGTGATTTCAATGTAAATGGAAGGGCTGGAACTGATGGAACAACAGAAAGTCCAGAATATACAGAATTTCTTCAAAACTTTCATTTTGATAGTGGAGAACTTATTGATTTACTTCTTAGAGATAATCATGGTATTCAACCAATAACTTTTGGTGATTCATTTATTGATGAAAATGGTACTGAAACACCATGTGATACAGAAATTACTTATGAAGTATCATGTATGGATAAATCACGATTAGATTATATGTTTCATTGGAAAAAACCAAATGAAAATCCAATTATTACTTGTAAGAATTGTCATGTGGATAAATTTCAAGTAAGTGGAAAAAAATACCCATTTATGTCAGATCATTTTGGGGTAACTTGTGATATATTTCTTTGATTTATTCATCATAATTAGTACTGTTATTAACAAAATGAAAGGGTTTTATTTTTGTTAATTTTTATTAAATTTTATTAAATTTTTTTTATTTCATTATGTATTTATACAAGAAACAATTAGAGTCAATTTTTATTCAATGTCTTCTTGGTTATTTTCCTAAAGAACTATCTCTTATTGATTTTATTTGTGTTTCAAAGAGAACATATCAAAGTGTTATTAACTATAGATTAGAATATAGATGGTTTAATCAATTATCAGAAAAACAGAAACTTCTTTTTAGTGGGATAAAAGAGAAGGTTATTGATATATCAAAATTAAATGAAAATGATATTAAGTATTCTACACTTATTTTAAATTGTGAAGATTCATCAAAGAAGATAAGAGAACCTTTTGCTTCTCATGTATCTGAAATTTATATTACATCAATCTCACAAATTAACTTTAACGAACTTCCATTACTTTCAAAAGTTAATATACTCCTTTCTTATTCAGTACCCAAAAATTTAAAAAAGATATCATTACCTAAACATATATTATTTGTTATTCGTGCTAAAAAATTTAAACCAATTTATGAACTTGTTAAATTAAATCCACAGACTACATTTATTGGTTATGTTTTTGAAATTTCAGAAAATGATATCATACTTATGAATGAATTATCAAATATTAAAATTTTGTTTCAACATTGGGAATCATTATTTCCATGGCCTAATCTTGATGTATCACGATTCATTTATACAGGAACTAAATTCTATTTAGAAGACATTATTCCTGAGTCTTTTATAAAATTTGTTATTAAACGTGGGTTAATTGAAGCATTCATACGCAGAAAAGGAGGTTCTTCAAAAGTATTTCTTGATTTACAAAGATCAATATTAGAAAGTATAGACATAGATAATGTTGGTTCACCTTTAATGGTATATGTTCCACAATCACTTGAAATAATTTCTTCAGAGTCACTAGTAAATATTGATATTCAAGGGATGAGATTATGCAACCATATGACTTCTTTAAACTTAACACATTTGAAAACTACGAATTTTCCTGTTTATGTTCAACGTTTAGAATTAAGGATTAATACTAACGTTGAGGAATTGAATCTTCGAGAGTTTCGACAACTTAAAGATGTAACTCTTGATAGTTATAAGAAGTTAGTTATATTAAAATTACCACCACTGACATTAAATTCACTCAATTTAACAAATTGTCAAAGAATAAGAAGCATAGATGGTAATAATATACATTCTGTATCAATTTGCCAATGTCAGCAATTAAAAGAATTTAAAGTTAGTTATAATAACCTTTTCATTAGTTCATTCTCTAAACCAATAAAATTTATTATTTCTACTCAAGTACAGAATTTAATTTTAGAGAATGTAACTGAATTATTTTCTCGTCAAGTCCCTTTCAAACTACAAAAACTTGAATTAAAGTCAGAACCAAGTGAAGAACTAATTTGTTCATTATTGAAATTTGAAGTTAACACTTTAATTTTATCAAACTATCATTATGGGTTAGAAGAATTAAAAGTTAATCAAGTTATATCTGTTTCAGATGACGTTGATAATTTTGATTTCAAATATCCATCTGAAGTAATTATTTCACCTCATCATTCTATAGAAATAGAAACTATCTATATTGGGAAAGAATCAGCTATTGAATTACTTGTAATAAATAAAACTATAGTAGAAGAACTTATTCTAAATGATTCGCATATACGGTGTTTGAGTCTTAACTCTAGTACCATTGCCCATTTTATTCAATCACCAATACTTGAAAAAGTAATTAAGTTAAATTCAAGAATTGTTAGTGGGGGAAGTCTTGAAGGAATTGTTCAAGAAATATGTGAAGAGAGAGACCCAAAGAAAGAAGAGTCAAGTGATTCATCTAGTTTTTATTTTAGGTTTTTTATAACAAAAATAGTAAACAACGGCGAAGTGAACTTTTAATTCAGAGGGTGTATGAGTGCATTGAAGATATTAAATCAAAATAGTGAAGCAAGTAGACGTGATCAATCTCTTATGATGAATATGCATGCAGCAAGATCGTTAGAAGCAATATTAAAAACAAACTTAGGACCAAAAGGAACATTGAAGATGTTAGTTAGTGGATCAGGTGGAATTAAATTGACCAAAGATGGAAGGGTATTACTTAACGAAATGGTTTGGTGATTTCTTTTTTTAATTATTGATATATTTACATTATAGCATATTCAACACCCAACTGCCAATCTTATTGCACGTGCTGCTACATCACAAGATGACATTGTTGGAGATGGAACTACATCTACTGTATTGTTATGTGGTGAAATTATGAAACAATGTGAACCATATTTAAGCGAAGGAATTCATCCAAGATTGTTAGTTGAGGGGATTGAATTAGCAAGACAACATTTATTTGATTATTTACCAAAAGTTGTAAAGAAGATTGATTGTAATGACCAATTAGTTCTTGAACACGCAGTAAAAAGTGTTATTGGAACAAAAATTACTATAGACTTTGTAGACCAATTATCAAAAATGATTGTTGATGCAGTAAAACTTATTAAAATTAATAATACTATTGATTTGTTTATGGTAGAAATCCAAAGTATGAAACATAAATTTGCAACAAACACAGAACTTATTAAAGGATTAGTCATGGACCATGGAACTCGACATCCAGGAATGCCTCATGATATAAGAAATGTATTTGTATTAACATGTAATGTATCTATGGAATATGAGAAGAGTGAAGTGAATAGTTCAGTTTGTTATTCTGATGTAACACAACGAACAGAAATGGTAAAGAATGAAAGAAAGTATGCAGATGATCAAGTAGCTAAGATAGTTGATTTAAAGAGAAGATTAGTAGAGAAATATGGAGAAGATGTTGGACTTCTTGTTGTGAATCAAAAAGGAATTGATCAACCAAGTCTTGATAAACTTGCAGCAGCAAAAGTTATGGGATTAAGAAGAGCTAAAAGAAGAAATATGGAAAGATTAACTCTTGCATGTGGAGGAGTTGCATTAAATAGTTTTGAAAATGAAATTCCATTTGAATGTTTAGGACATGCTGGACATGTATATGAGACAGTTATTGGAGAAGAGAAATATACATTTGTAGAAGAATGTGAACATCCAAAGTCATGTACTATTCTTATTCGAGGGTCTGATGAACAAGAAATTGAACAAATTAAGGATACAATTAGAGATGGATTAAGGGCATGTAAAAATGCTATGGAAGATGGAGGAATAGTTTTAGGAGCAGGGGCATTTGAGTTACAATGTTGGAAAGAATTAAAAGAATTTGCTAAAAATGTTAAAGGAAAAGCAAAATTAGGAGTTGAAGTAATGGGAAATGCAATGTTAATTATACCAAAAACTTTAATAGAAAATAGTGGGTATGATGTTATTGAACGATTATATGAATTAGAAGATAATATTTTAGAAGGAAAAATTGGAGGAGTTGATATTGAAACAGGAGCATTTAAAGAAATAGATGATGTTTGGGATGGAATTAGAGTTAAGAAACAAATGATTCAATTAGCAAGTGTGCTTGCATCTCAATTAATGTTAATTGATGTTGTAATGAGATGTGGATCAGCTAAGAATCGACCTGCAGGAGCTGATGCTGGACAATTTAATTAAAAATTTAACTTAACACATAAGAGAAATTAGTTTATTTTTAATAATACTTAAAGTAAAAATTTATTGTAATTTTTAAATCAGAACAATTTCTTCTTCATTTATGTTTCAATTATTTAAATGACATTAATGTAATTCTATTTTTTTTTTATTAACTCAACTATGTTTCTAAAAATTATTTAATACTTGTTTATGTTTTTTGAATATCGTAATTTATATAACAATGATTTGAATAAAAAAAAAAGTATCAACACAAAATATAGAAAATAATTAATATCTTTTTGAATAGTAATTATTAAAAAATGTTATAAATAAACTAAAAATAATATTCTTTTAATTTTTAGATAGACACAACAAATAATTTTATCAATACAAAATAGAGATGAAGAAAAGCATAAATTTTTGATTTTTAAGAGTTATTAATGAAATATTTATGACACCCTTTTTTTATTAAATAAAGGTTGAACTCAACAATTAATTTTGGTAAAGTATTGTTAGATTAAATTATGTTTATTATTTTCATAACAAAATTTATCTGATTTAATAGAGACAATCCATGAATGATTTTATGTGTTAAGAAAGTAAATACTATTTGGATAAATTTGTTTGGAAGTGTAGAAAAAGACAAAGACAGAGTTGATATATGACTGAATTAAATCTCTTATTCACTGCTTAAAATGAGATATTATTCATTCGACTAAAAAGTGCTTTACAAAAGATTTGTTGTTGTACGGTGAATAGATTTTTTGACCAAATTAGTAATTTTTCTGTTAAAAACAATTGTTTAATTTTAGTTAAAGTTAAGAGTAATGTTTGGTGAAATATTTTTTAAAATACAACAATATTAAGTTTATAAGATTAGGCCAAATCAATAATTTTATTGTTAAAACTATTGTAAATGAACTTCTCATTGTTTGTAAATCACGAATTTATAACTAACAATAAGAAGAAATAAATTGTGTAAAATGCTTAAAAGAAAGTTTTAAATAACAGGTAAGCTTTCGAACACACAGTTGTATATTTATCAAATAATAAAAAATGACCTGTTAATCCTTGAGTAAAAGGGGTTAGTGAAATTAAATGAAATTCTATTTAACTACCTTTGTTTGAATTTTATTGGTAAAAATAAAATAGAAGGAGTTTGAAAAATTCTAAGTTATTTAGGAGGTGGATTGTTGTTAATTGGTAAGAAGTTTCTCTTTTTCTCGGCTCCAGAACGATCACTTCGATCAATTCTTTCTGATCTGTCGTGGATATCTGTATTTAAACGAGGGTCTCGTTCAATTGGTGGCCGGTCAAGTGGAATACGAGGGTCTCGATCTAACGGTGTTCTTTCTAAAGGAGGTCTATCAAGTGGTGCTCTTGCATCGATAGGAGGTCTGTCTAAGGAAGCCCTTGGATCCAAAGGAGGTCTATCCATAGGAGGCCTATCTAGTGGTGCTCTTGGGTCTAGACGAGGATCACGTTCTAATGGGTTACGTTCGAATGGAGCACGAGGATCTCCCATATATCTTGGATCACGAGGGAAAGGATCACGATCATACCTAGGGTCAGATAAATAACGAGGATCTCTAAGATAACGATTGTCATATCTAGGATCGAATCTAGAGTCGATGATACGAGGGTCACGAAGATCTCTGGGGTCGTTAAGGGAAGGACGAATGTCTGATAAAGGGAGACGTTGATTTCTGTCTAGTTGAGTGCGATTTTGAAGGTCTTGTTGAGTGCGATCGGAGACTTTGTCAAGAGGAGTTTTTGAATCAATAGGAGGACGATCAATAGAAGCAGCACGTTCAAGTGGAGTTCGTTCGTTTGGACGTTCTAGTTGTTGAATCCCACGTTCTAAACGATCATAACGAGTGTCATAATTTATTCTAGGATCAAGTCTAGGATCATTTCTCATATCAATTCTAGGGTCAGTGGTATTGTCATATCTTGGATCATAACGATCATACCTTGGATCATATCTTGGATCATAACGATCATATCTTGGATCATATCTTAAATCAAATCTTTCAAAACGAGGATCATATCTTGGATCAAAACGAGGATCAAAACGAGATGATGAATATCTTGGATCAAAACGAGGATCATCATAATAAGGATCATCATAAGTTCTAGAATATCTTTGATCACGATTATCTTTATCATAACCAAAAGGATAAGGTGCAGGATAACGAGGAATAGGTTTCATTGGAGCTGGTTTTTTTGTTTGATCAATTGCAGTTTTAACATCACGTGGAAGTTCACTAATTCCATTAAATGGTTCTTTTGTTTGATAATTTGTTGTATTTGTTGTTTGATAATATGGATAATCACTTGGTTGTCTATTATCTATATTTTTTAAAAATGGTTCACTTGATCGATATAAAATTGAATCTGGTCCTTTAGTTAAACCACTTGATGAATAAAGCCATCTATTTAATGTATCAAACATTGATGAACATCTATTTGGTTCTATTCCATATGCAATTGATACTTCTTTTGTATATTGTGTAATATCTCGACTTTTTGATGTTTTTTGATATATTTCAAATACTGGTTTTACAAATAATGTATAATATGCTATAAATAAATGTTTATTAGCTCCTCTCATTCGATATTTATGTATATTCCCTAAATATTCATTATAATTGATTTTTTCATTCATTTTCTCTCCACTCCGTTTATTCCCTTGATTCCCTATCTCTCCTCCTCTCTCTCTTCTTTCTTGTTTCATTTCTTGATTACTACTCTTTTGTTCTTGTGGCTGTTTGATCAACATCGACACTCTATTCGTTCCTACTGCTGCTTGTGGTTTATATGGTATATTCCATTCGGTATTCTTATTAACTACAAATATAAATGGATCTCCTCCATTATTAGGTATTTCAGAGGCTGACATAACGTATAGTATAACAAGATCAGTTTTACTACCTTTTATACAGGTTATAACTACAAAATATCCAGGTATACAATAAAATGAAAAGTATTCAATTCCTTATTTTTTTGAAGGGTTTTTGTACAAAAGAAAAATTTCATTATTTCATTTTTATTTTTTTCTCTTTTCTTGAATTAATTATAAATTGTTATATAAAACAGGAATATAAATGAAGAAAAATTTGTTGTTATTAATTTAAAAGAATAAAAAATAAATTATGGAGTTTTTATAAGAATAATAAAAGACTGGTAAATTTTTCAAAAACGAAAACTGTTGAGGTTCAGTAGAATTATCTAAATGTGCTTAAAGAAAACTATTGAAGATTTTAAAAAAATTCAAGTCTGAATATTGTAAGATAAATAAAATCAAGAACTCAAAAAAAAAAAGAGAATGAAAATAAAAAAAGATTTCAAAAAGAGGATGTGGAATAATCTATACATTCTGTCTAATTCTGGAATGGTCACATAAGAGGAAGTAGAGTGAAGAAATGGGAGGAGCAGGAAGAAAAAAAAAACAAAAAAATAAGAATAGAACAAGAGGAAAAATTAATAGAAAGGACAAACCCTTTACATGTAAAGTCCACGAGGATCCACGAAAGTGATGATTTAAATAGGGTAGATGAAAGAACTAAAGTCATTAAATGCAATTTGAACCACTCTTCAATCCAAAATCTGTTGCCGTTATTGGTGCATCTGACAGAAAAGAATCTGTTGGATATGCTGTTATGAATAATATGATTAAAGGAGGATATAAAGGACATTTATATCCAGTTGGAAGAAAACCAGAACTTTTTGGAATGAAATGTTATGCTAAGATTGGACAAATTGAAGAGAAAGTAGATCTTGCAGTTATTGCTATTCCAGCTAAATTTGTACCAGGTGTATGTATTGAATGTGGTGAAGCCGGAGTTAAAGGACTTATTATCATTACTGCTGGTTTTGCTGAAGCTGGTGAAGAAGGAAAGAAAATGTGTATTGAAATTCAAGCAACTTGCCAAAAATACAATATGAGAATGATTGGTCCAAACTGTCTTGGAATCATCAATCCAAGAGATGGTGTTAATGCATCATTTGCTTCAGTTATGCCAGAAGCTGGAGGAGTTGCTTTCATTTCACAATCAGGAGCTCTTTGTACTGCTATTCTTGATTGGGCTGCTAACCAACATGTTGGATTCTCATATTTTGTTTCAATTGGATCATCAATTGATACTGATTATGCTGATCTCTTTGAATTCTTTGCTAAAGATCCAAAAGTCACTTCAATTCTTATGTACATTGAATCAATTAAGGATGCTAAAAAATTCGTCTTAAGAGCTCGTGAATTTGCTGCTGATAAACCAATCATTTTACTTAAAGCTGGTAAATCATCTGAAGGAGCTGCTGCTGCTATGTCACATACAGGTTCACTTGCAGGAAATGATGCCGTTTATGATGCTGTCTTTGATAGATGTGGATGTATTCGTGTTGACTCAATTTGTGATCTTTGGGATTGTGCTCATGTCCTTGCTACTCAAAATATTCCACAAAATAACAGACTTTGTATTATTACAAATGCTGGAGGACCTGGTGTTATTTCAACTGATAGACTTGTTTCAGTTCACGGTCATCTTGCTAAACTTTCTGAATCCACTATGACTGAACTTAATGGATTCCTTTCACCATTCTGGTCACATTCTAACCCAGTTGATGTTCTTGGTGATGCTACTGCTTCTACTTATCAAAAGACTCTTGACGTTGTCATTAAAGATCCACAAATTGACGGTGTCGTTGTTGTTTTAACTCCACAAGCTATGACTGATCCAGTTGCTGTTGCTAAATCATTAGTTGAACATGGACCATATCAAAAACCAGTTCTTGCTTCATGGATGGGTCAATCAGAAGTTGAAGCTGGTGTTAAGATTCTTGAACAAGGAAAGATTCCAAACTTTGAAACTCCAGAAAGAGCTGTTACTGCTTTTGGTTATATTATGAGACACCCAGACATTGCTGCTAAATTAAAAGAAATTCCAAAATATCTTGATGTTCAAGTTGACTATGAAGGAGCTAAGAAACTTATTGCTGATGTTGTTGCTGATGGAAGAACAACATTCACTGAATATGAAGGAAAGATGATGTTCTCAAAATATGGTATTCCAATTAAGGGTATGGCTAAAGCATCAACTGAAGATGAAGCCGTTGCTGAAGCTATGAAAATTGGTACTCCAGTTGTTATGAAAATTCTTTCACCAGATATTATGCACAAGACTGATGTTGGAGGAGTTAAAGTTAAATTAACAACTGAAGAAGAAATTAGAAAGGCTTACAGAGATATTATGACATCTGTTAAAGAAAAGAAACCAGAAGCTAGAATTCATGGAGTTCTTCTTGAAAAGATGGTTGGATTTAAATATGAATGTATTATTGGATGCAAGAAGGATCCATTATTTGGTCCAGTCATTGTCTTTGGTATGGGAGGTGTTACTGTTGAATTATACAAGGATACTAATATTGCTCTTCCACCAATTGGATTACAAGAAGCTGATAGACTTATTGATGGAACTAAGATTTCTAAATTATTAAGAGGATACAGAGGAATGCCAGCTTGTGATGTTGAAGGACTTAAGAAGATTCTTGTCCAATTCTCAAAGATGATTATGGACTTCCCAGAAATCTCAGAAGTTGATATTAACCCACTTGCTGTCTCTTATGAAGAATTCCTTGTTCTTGATGCTAAGATTGTCTTAGACAAGAATATGATTGGTAAGGAAGTACCAAAGTACTCTCATCTTGTCATCCAACCATAAATTGACCACTTTTCGTGTTAATTTTTTGGTTTTTTGAATGATTTATAAAACTATTTTTGTATTTTATTTTGTTCCAACTATTGATGCTTTAAAAACTAAAGAATCATATAAGAGAAATATGAGATCTTCTTGATAAAGACAAACACATAATCAGATGTTTCTAACGTCATTCTGTTCTTTTTATGAATATTTTCTTTTTGTATTGCTTACAATAAAATTCAAATATTATCTTTACCACTCAGTTAATTCAGTAAAACTACTTACAAGGTTTGTTCTTATTGCTGTCACAAACACTCATTTTATATCATTCATATTTAATAAGTTATTTTACATTACAAGTGATGTTTGTTCAGTTTTTGTTATTTGGTGTTTATAATTTTATTAAACTATTCTTTTCATGTTTTTAAGAATGGGTTATACTACACAGGGAGATGATGTTATGTGGACTTTTCTATAAAAAAGAAGATAAGACAGAGTTAGTACCAACACACTTAAATTTAAGTGAATTGAAGATGTACTTTGTAGAAACAAGAGTAAGTTAACTCACACCCAAATGAATTGTTATAGTTGAAATAAAATCAAAAACACAATGACGACCACTAAAATAGATGGAACTATTTTTGAAGTTGTCTGTTTTTAATTTGTATGAGAGAAACTGTGTTGTTAATTCATTTGGGTGTTTAATTTTGTCTCAATTAAAAAATAAGGTCAGAAGCAATCAAAAAAGCAGTCTTAGAGTAAAAGAAAGAATAAATAAATAAGAAGGCCCCGTAGCACAGTCGGTAGTGCATCGTACTTATAGAAAAGAGAAATGCGAGGGTCGCGGGTTCGATCCCCGCCGGGACCATTTTTCTTTAATCTAAAATAAAATTAAAACATCATTAACACTATAAAATTAGAAATGCCATTTAATAATTATCTGATAATTAACTATCTATATATTGAAATAGAATAAATCTTTGTATATTTCATTTTTATTGTTGTTTTGTTGACTAAATAATGAGTAAAAAGAAATTAATAATGAATGAACAATTTTAATAACTGTTGTAAATTAAATCAATGAAATAAAAAAATATTTAAATTATACGTTTATCATTAACTCATTTATCTGGTAACATTCCATTACAATAAATAATAATTTATTTAAAGTTGATGTATTAAATTCTTAACAATCAAAAGATGAACTATTATCACATTTTATCATAACTTCTTTTTCTATCTTCTTCATTGTATCATTGATCAAATTTGTTCTAATGTAAGTGATGTCATTTATATTTCATTAGTTAGAATATTATGTTTTTTTTGTTTCATTTTTAAATTCAATAAATTTGATGATTTAATTACAAATTGTCATTAATGTGATTCATATAAACAATGTGTATTGATAAAATATTATAATAACTTTACTGTATTCTTATATCTATTTCAAATGATAAAAAAAATGAATAATGATAAAAAGTATGAGAATTATACAAATTGAAAATATATTAATTATTTACAACAAGAAATCAAATTAATAGTAATGTAAGTTGGTTGATAAATGTTTGATTAATGTATAATCAATTCCATATTTTGTTAACCAACATAATGTTCATTTATGTACTGTCACTAAATTAAAAGATTATATTGATTTATCAATGGATCAACAATGTTAATAAAAGTGTTTTGTTTAAATAGATTTGTATTCTCTCCTTTTTGATAGAATTACATGGTATTAGTGGTACTGTGAGAAATAATTACTTGTAATTAATATAACTCTTTGAATTATGTTAGCATGTTATTTCTAGCTGTTAGTCATAACTTTATTATTAGTAACAAAGTTAAATATCACCTCAATAATCATCAAATCTCTATATTATATTATAGAATCATTAATATTATTGTTATAATGACTAAACCTTTATTTAATTAAACAAAAGAATAATACTACTACTCACTTCATCCATACTACCTATTGATTAAGATATTTCATTAAATATCAATAATTTTTGAATATATTACTTAAGCATTCGTCTTATAACAACTCAAATCACAATAAGTATTTATTGAAATAAATGTTATTTAGTCTATTGAAACTATTACATACAATCTTCAAAAATAAAGGATAGAAACTATGTTAGTATAAAGAAACATATTATTAAAGAAAACATAAAAATATAATATTTTTCAATGAGTGATTAAATAGATATTTAATTCAATAACTCAAAACCACTAAAAACATCATACTAAAGAAGAAGCACCAACAATATTATTAAAAACACTGTTTATCAATAAAACTCAAAAAAAAAATAACTCACAAATTATGCTTTTAGTAATGAGATAAAGAATAAAAAAAAATATTAAACTAAACCAATAATAAAAATCAGTCAGTTAGAATGGTTCTTCTATTCTTCTTCTATAACAAGCTCCCCATTTTTGTCTTTGTTCTCTATCAACCTTTTTAGCTTCTTCTGTTTTAAACATTACAATATTTAAATAATCGTCAGTATAGTTATCTGGCATTCGTTCTAATAGTGGTTGTTGATCCAAACTTTGTGTATTCCAATCAAAAAGTTCTTTTACATCAGATGCTGTATACAACATTCCTTCTCCTGGTTTTAAAAGATAAACATACATAGCAGCAAAATGTGGGTTGATTATTCTTCTTCGTTTTACTGAATTCTTAAAATGAGGATCAGGAAATGTTATAAATATTTTCAATAATTGACCTTTAACAAAATAATTGTCAACATACTTCATACAATTACATTGAATAATCCAAACATTCATCAATTCATTCTTTTCTCTGGCAGTTTGAATCTTTTCTAATCCGTATTGAACTGCTGGATCTCGAATTTCCATTCCAAGAACATTTTTCTCTTGAATTATTCCTACCTCCCTAACTAATCCTCCCCATCCACATCCAATATCAAGCATTTCTGCTGGTTTTCCATTTGGAAAATATAATTTCCAATCAAGAGATTGTGGTGTAATAGGATTTGTTGATGGACTATCAGCAAGAGGATTTCTATGTGCATGAACTCTGTGGAAAGGCTTAATACTTTTCTTTTTCTTTATTATTGAATCATGTGAGTGTTCTGTTATTTGATGTTCTGAAGACATAGAATAGTGGAATATGATTTTGAGATCATCTAAGAAAAACAAAATACTTAAGATGAAAAGAGATTACATACTTATTCAACAACTTAAAAAAATTTATAATAATCTTCCAAATTCTAAATTGTATAATAGTTATGATACTAGTAGAATTAAATATATAGATATTCAACCTATTTCTATGGAAAAAATCGAAGTTATAGAATTAGATGAAAACCCACAAAATAATGAAACAGAAATCTTATTAGATCAATCTCCTTTTACTTCTCAAAATAATCCAATAAAAAGCACAGTATCAGATTTATTATTACTTCAACCACCATCATACATCACAAATAATACAAAAACATTAACTAATCAATTAACATCAACAAATAGTATTATTCATAATATTGCTTCAAAACCACCTCTTCCTATAAATGGAAATATTATTCCACCTCCATCAATCAACCCAATATTAAAAATTAGAAAAAGTGATTCAAGAATGAAACAACTAAAGTTTAATATACAACAACCAAACATAAATACTGTTAAAAGAGATTCTGATATTCCACCTCAAATTATAAGACAACCACCAAAAAAATCTAATGTATTTAATATTGATTTAAGTTTAATACAAGAAAAACCAATAATTATTGATGATGATGATTCTTTTATTCAAATCAATGACAAAGGAGAAGAAGTCATTGATTTATCAGCAGTTGATCAAATTAGTCAAGATGATGATACTAAAACAAAAGATTTAATTAAAATTCTTGAAACTGAAGTTCAAAATTATTCAACAATTCATTAAAACTTTAATTTCTTTTTAGTTTTATATTCTTTAAATCCTATTGTAAAAATTTTTCAATTAAACAACCAAATACATTATTAGAGAATAGTTAATTCTCCTCTAAGATTCGATTTAATATTATTTCTTACTTCATCTGGAGTCATTCCTTGAGCAAGTAACCATGTTAATTTAGTGAATGCTGCTTCAATAGTCATATCTCCACCACTAACAACACCAATTGATTTATATCCATACGCTGCACTATAATCATCTAAATCAACTCTTCCCATATGACATTGTGTTATATCAACAATAACTACTCCTCTTTGAATTGCTTCTCTCATTGGTTTTAAAAAGTTTTCTTTATCAGGTCCATTACCTGCACCAAATGCTGCTAATATTACACCTCTAACATTATTATTTAAAACTGCTTCAATAAATGTTGATGTAATACCTGGATGAAGATAGATAATAATAACACCATCTGTAACTGTAGGAATAAATCTCATTGGCGCATTAGCATATGGATTAACGTGTGGCCAATCAACAAGAATTTCAGCACCAAACATTGCCAATGCTGGATAATTAGCTGAATCAAATCCCTCATAACTATTTGCTTTTAACTTTTGAACTCGATTTCCTCGATATAAATGTCCTCCAAATGTAACAACAACTTCTGGAATTGGAATATCACCAGCAGTTGTTAATGCACTTAGTAAATTATTTGTAGCATCTGAATATGGTTGACATAATGGTGTTTGTGCTCCAGTAACTACAATCGTCTTATTTAAATTCTCAAACATAAATGAAAGAATACTTGAAGTATATGCAAGAGTATCAGTTCCATGCAATACAACAAATCCATCATAATCATTATAATTCTCATTAATTACAACTGCTATTCTTACCCAATCTTTTGGTGTCATTGCTGATGAATCAAGTAATGGGCTTAATTCAATAAAATCATAATATGGTAATGTTTCACTTTGGAATTGCGGCATTTCTTGAATTAATGATTGAAGATATCCAGGCTGTGGTTCCCATCCTTGTTCTCCTTGTTTCATTCCAATTGTCCCACCTGAATAAACAATAAGAACATGCTTTGGGTTATGTGTTGCTTGTGCTATTGAAAACAATAAAAGAATATACAAGAAGATCATTTCGTCTAACTAATCAAGTTTTCCTTTTTTTTTGTCTATAATTAACAGAATGGTTAAGAAATCAATCGAAAATCTTTTTTACTGACGAATATTCTATTTATTTCTTTATTTTATTAATTGATAAGTATTTTATTTATATAATTTTAGGAAAACCCTTATTTTAAATAACAATAATTTTAAATCTCAATTTATTATTTTTAGAAATAATGTTATATAAAAAATAAAAACCTCATTTTTATTTAGTAAAAATGAAAGAGAACTTAAAAGTTATATCACAAAAAGAAATATGAAAAGAGGATGTGATTGTAAGAAAGGGAAAACTGATATAACTGATTTCTTTAAAACAAAAAAACCAGCTCAATCCCAAACAGTTTCTAGTGATGAAGTATGGGATCATCCTTTATTTAAGTACTTAACTGATCCAGGATGGAGACAAGTTTTAGAGCCTGTATTTAAGAAATATGTTAAAGACAAAGAGATATTAAACATTGCTTCCTTGTATGAAAAAGAGACTATTTACCCACCGAAAGAATTAATTTTCAATGCTTTTAATGTTACGCCATTTGAACAGGTTAAAGTTGTGATTATTGGACAAGACCCTTATATTAAAAAAGATCAAGCACATGGATTATGTTTTAGTGTAAACAAAGGAATTGCCATACCACCATCATTAAAAACAATTTATAAAGAATTAAAACGAACAGTACCAGAATTTCAGATTCCAAAACATGGATATTTAATAGAATGGGCAAAACAAGGAGTGTTAATGCTTAATGCTACATTAACAGTAAAAGAAGGAAAGTCTAATTCTCATGAAAAAATGTGGAAGAATTTTACAGATGATATTATTAATGTTCTTTGCCAAAAGAAAGAAGGTCTTGTCTATCTTCTTTGGGGGGCTTTTGCACAGAAAAAAGCCAGTGGTGTTGATTCAACAAAGAATTGTTGTTTAAAAGCACCACATCCATCTCCATTAGCGAAAGGAGGATTTGATAATTGTAACCATTTTGTACAATGCAATGATTATCTTAAACAAATAGGAAAAGAACCAATCAACTGGGTGTTAACCTTATGAATGAACTTAATTAATGAGTAATTTTCAATATTAATGTTTTAATAATTAAAATAGTAAAATATATATTAAGTATTATTAGTTTATGTATAGATGTTGAAAAGAAAATCAAAGTAATTTTTAGTTCTTTTAATATGAGTAAAGAAATAACAAATCTAGTGATTGATACTCATGAACTAATTCTTGTTTGTATTTTATTTACAACGTAAAGAAAAAAAAAGACAATACTAATTTAAAGAATTGTATTAAGAAATTACTTGAACTTGCAGTTCCTTCACCAAGTAATCTTTTTGATGAAATAAAGGAATTGACAGAAGTTAATGTGGAAGAAATGATAAAATCAACTAATGTACGTGAGTTATGTGATTTACTGATTTATTTACTTGTTCGTTCATCACCAATTTTTCCTGAGATATATAATAATAATGCTATTTTGATTATGAAAAATAATTTATTAATCCAAAAACATCAGTTACGGGCATTATTATATTTCATTCCAATTGAACAAAAAGGGAAATATTATATTCATTGTTTGAATTCCTTCATTTAAGTCGAATACCAATAGAAAAAATTGTTCCAATCTTTACTAAGATAGTTTTTAAAACATCTACTAAATTTCAGACTAAATTCTCAATGATTCTCTCAGTATATATTGAGCATTATAATTTTATGTCATTTCAACTCAGTCAAAATGTACCTAATAGTGTTATTGTATATGAATTAAAAGCAAGAACAATTAGTTCTTTTCCACCTGAATACAAGTCAGGATTTTTAGAAGTTCCTGCAAATACTGTGATTGATGTTATTGCTATCAATACACCAGAATGGATTATTGGTAGGTATAGAGAAGGTTTAAATCAAGGGAGTGAGGAAACAGAGGTCTGTGGCTTTATTGCTATTTCATTTCTTAAACTTATTCCTGAAAAATTTACTCTCCCAGATAGAGCAAAAGCAGACTTTATTGAAGAAGTTATTCCAAAGGTTATGGTCACAAGAAGAAATGATGCAATTAAATCAAGACATTCTACATCTCTTGTTATGCCACAAACAATTTACTGTGAAATTTGTTTTAAAGCACCAATTGAAAACCCATCTAAATGTGAATTTTGTGCAAAACATATTCAGCCACGGTGTTGTTATGAATGTCTTATTTCATTAGAATGTTTAAAAAATGCTAAATGTCCTTTATGTGGACATGGATTAAATAAAAAATCAAAAATTATACCAACAAATCCCATTCCTGAAAGAGTTATTACTCCTTCAAATTCACCAGTCATAGAAAAGAAATGGAAAAATAATTATAAAATAAGTGTACTTGGAATAACTGGAGTAGGAAAGACTTCACTTATTGTTCATTACGTTTTTGGAAAATTTGTTGAACAAAAAGATAATACTATTGCTGACATTTATAGAAAAACTTCAATTATTAATGACGTTCCTTGTCTTATTCAAATTAGTGATTTTGATGATAAAAAAGCAGATGGATTTATTTTAGTATATTCAAAACAAATAGAGAAATCCCTTGAATATGTTATGGACATAGAAAAGAAATTAACATCAAAATATAAAAGATTTGTCATTGTTAGAAATGATTTTAAAGAAACACCAGAAGATAATGACATTTGTTTTCATCGTGTATTCAGTGTTAATGCAACAACTTCAATCGATAACTTTGATCGAGCAGTTGAAGAATTAATATGTGATATTAGAGCCATAGAGTCTAGACCAAAGAAAGTGAGTAAATGCAATATTCAATAAGTTCTAATGTATTTTTATTTAAAATATTGTATTGGTTTGAACATTCTTTCTATATACTCTTACGCTTTTAAGATTAGATTATTTTGTACTTGTTCAGAATTAATAGACCAGCCAATAAGTAGTACATTAAAAAAGTGTTAAAAAAAACAAAAAGTATCTTTTAAAATAAGTTTGTTTTATAAAAAAGAAATTGACTTCATAAATAAAAATTGATTCAAGAAGAATTACATGAAATCATAATCGTCTTCATCTTCATCATCATAATAATCATCTTCAAGTTGATCTTCTACTCTTTCAGTATATTTCTTTCCAGTTGTAGCAGGTTTAGCTAAATTCTTTTTACCTCCTTTCTTTTTCTTTTTATCAGCCTCTTTCTCAATTTGAACTTGTTGATTAAAGAGTACTTCCATATAAGCACTTAATTCTTTAATTTCAACACTTGTTAAATCATTAGTTAATTCTCTCATACATTCTTTAACAAGTAATTTATATTGTTTTGATTTTTCTTTATAAAGAGCATGACCCTTTAATCCTAATAACTTACCATACTTTTGGAAATCTTTATCAGTAATAACTGACATAGTGTCTAATTCATGCAAGTCATCAACTCCTTGATACAACCTTTCTGCTCCTTTAATGTCTGACTCTTCTTGTTGTCTTCTCAAAGCCAATGACTTTTCTTCTTCAGTCATTCCTTCAGTTGGATCAACATATTCTTCTACAACTTTTACATTATTTTTCTTTGCTTCTTTCAGTTCCTTATTACTAACAGTTTTTGTTTCTTCTTTGGTTTCTGGTGCTAAGGCTGCTAATGTAGAAGTGGTCTCTCCAAAATCAGGTTCTTCTGCAATATCAAAATCTTCCCAAGACATAACCAATAACTTTTCTAGATACCCTTGAAATCTCTTAATTCATTGTTTCATATTCATTTAAATTAGTATTACTAATCTTATAATTAAGTTATTTTTTAATTTATTTTGTTTTTAAACTACAAAAAGAAGACTAAAAGATACTATTTAGTGTTTTAATTGAATTAGTTAAACATAGAAGCAACAACCCTCTTTGGAATTGGTCTATCCTCATCAGAAACAGCATCAAATAATGTAAATTTTTGTTCTAAATTCTCATTTACTTTCATAATAGAAGCAATATTACCACAACGTGAACAATAATTTGGTGCAGACCACACAGTGACCAATTTATTTTCAAATTGATATTTATATCCTTCCATAACTAATTGATGTGCACGAGCAATCAACTGTATATTGTTAATTTGACAAAACTCATCAACTGGTTTCTTTCCAAAAAGATATCCAGCTCCTCTAGAACTTACTCTCATTCCTTTTTCATTCTCTTCAGGATCAGACCACATTAAATCACAGAATGATCCTTCATGTGGGACCTCTTCATTACGGTCAATACAATATCTAATTTGATCAATAGTTCTTAGTGTTGGTGAAAGTCCTCCATGGACACAATAAATAGAATTATCAATAACAGCAGCAACATTAAAATAATCAAATACATCCATGAAAATAGTCCAAGCAGCAGGATTACCATATTTTTGAATGCACTCATCATAAAATCCATAGTCTTGAGTAATCATTCTTGTTTCGTGATTCCCTCTTAACAAATGAATTCTATCTGGATATTTTACTTTATGTAATAATAAAAATGTAATAGTTTCTATTGAATAGATTCCTCTATCAACATAATCACCCATAAACAAATATTGTACATCTGGAATATTTCCTCCAATTTCAAAAAGTCGTAATAAGTCATAGAATTGACCATGAATATCTCCACATACTGTTACCGGTGTTTTAATTTCAAGAACATTCGATTCTAATGCCATAATTGCTTTTACTGTAAAACATAGTTCTAATAAATCATGTTCACTTAGAACATCGCCTCCTTTCACTTGTTCTATACACTTATCAATATCCATAAAATGACTAAGTTAACTTTAATTTAGCTTTCTAAGATCTCTGGGTAGTTCAGAAAAATATAATTTGCTTCAAATACTATTTCTTCAAGTCGTCCTTTTAATCAAGAAGTTAATTATAATTAAATAATAAAAATAACATATTTTTACTATAATTTTTTAGTTAAATATGAAGGGTTTTAATAAAATGTTTTAAATAACATATATTTATAATTAAAAATTAATTACTTTCATTTTCATTCACAAATAACGTAAATGGATGAAGTGGATGTGCATCAGATGCTTCTAAAGTTGAAACAAGAGCAGGGAGTGGGGCGTCTACATCAATATAATCAAATTGTAAATTTCTAAAAGTAGCTTCAGCCAATCCTGGAGTAGCAAACAAAGCATAAAGTTCAGTAGTTCTCATTGATAACATTGGATAATCATCTACCTTTCCAATCAATTTACATAACGTGAGTTTAACTTTAGAATTTTGACCAATAGCCTGTCCTAATTTGCAATATAAAGAAAGAAGAGAAATTTGTAAGTATTCTGGATAGTTAGAGTCTTCAAATGTTTGAGGGTCAACTTCTGCAAGTAAGAATTCAATTTCTGCTGGTTTAATGAAATGAGCATTTTCACCAACTAATAAACACAAATGATTTGCAAATTCTGTTTGGTAAGAGTTTTCCACAAAATCTGCACTTTTTAATAAACCATCTAAAGCAGCAACCAAAACACTCAAAATACATGGAGCAGCTTTAATCATCACACTCAACGCTGAAACAAATGTTTCTCTTACACCTCTCATAAATTGGATATCAGGATAAAGACAGTCATATCGTGAGATAATTTCTTTTACAATCTTTAATGCTTCACTCTCACTATTATAACGAACACTTACTGCTTGGAAGAAAACTCTTAATAAAGCTGGAACACATTTAGTTGCAGCTTTTACTCTTCCGCTGTTACGTTCTGGTCTACGAAGAAGCTCTTCTAATTTACTTCGATACTCTCCTTTCCATAAATGATTTCCTTCATATGTAGTACGATAAAGATAGTTATAAGCAAATTGATAGTTCTCTATTTTTTTTTCATGGTCAACAGTTCCTGGTGGTATTATAGTTAATAACAATGCTATAATTGGAAGATCTAAAATATAGTGTAGCACTGATGATGCATTACCATTACCAATAAATAAATAAAGAAGGGGAAGAACATCTCTTTGGATTGAGGTTGAGTGCATTGCAATAGCAGTAAATGGAAAGAATATTGACTCAGTTGATAAAGCAATTGAATGTTTTTTAATTATTCTTAGAGTTTCACTAACTAAAAGAATATCAGAAAATCCATTGTTTTTAACAAGAAACTCAGCAATAAAACTATTTACTTTTTGTGCATTACTTTGAACAAATTCAGATGATATCATTAATGTTGCATCAAGAAATGAAAGAGCAACAAATGGATCAATATGTTCTGCTTGTATTTTAATTGATTGAAGAACAGAAGAGACATTATGACTGAGGGATGGTTGACGAGCAGCAATTATTCCAAGTAAACGAACCATTTCATGATAAATAACAGCATGAACAGGTTGTATATTTTGAATACGAAGGAATTGTTGCATGACTTGATTTACATAAGAAATAGTTGTTTCACATAATTGAACTGATACATTCACTTTAGAAATGTACTGAATTAAACCAGACACAATTTGGTGATGTTGAGACATATGAGTAGTATATAAATTTCTTGAAGAAATGTTCATCACAGTGAATATAGGAGTATTACTAATTTTACCATCTTGTTCTTGAATTTGTAGTGACAGTTTATTTGGATTGAATTCTAATGTACCTGATGTAACACTCATTTGAAGGTATCGAGTAATAGTAGAATCTACTTGTGATATTTCTGTTTCAGAAATTTTTTCTCTACAACAAATAGCAAATAATACAGGAATAAGTTGGTTATTAAGTAATTTATTATCTGTAGCTAATAATGAAATGATATTTGTTGGTGTAATATGGTTTGCAACGGGAAGGCCTTTACGAAGATTATAAATAATAAAGAAAATATCACTTGCTGTTCCAGAAAATGATAAATTCATTTCTGGGAATGTGTACAATGACTCAGCAGCAATATACTTTAATAACAATGGTGATTTTTCATTAACAAGTTCATTCAATAAACATTTAATGATAGATGGTGTAGCTCCTGTTCCATAATTTAATAAAATTGGTAACAATCTTCTATACTCAAGAAGTTTGTCTTTACTTCTATTCATTTTCATTAACTGTTCAAACCTTCCTTCAGTGGTTATTGGTTGTTGTCTGCTCATAATTTATTTCAATCAAGTTATTTTAATTTTTTTTGAGTTCTAAAGCCTTTTAGAAAATATAATTACTTTTTTATAAAAATTATTATTCTTCTTATTTTCAACTTTTCTTTCCTTTTCTTTCAACAATAACAGAACATGCATTAAAAATCAATCAATGTAATTTCACAATGGATATTCCATTTACAGCATTTTCTGTTTTATTCCAATCACCTAATCTGTACCTCTTTCCTATTGCACAAACTATGGCTGAGTGGTCTTTTGTTACGTCAATAGAATTAACACATCCCCCAACATTAACCTCACCCAAAAGTTCTAATGAAAGTGTTTCTGAAGATTTAAATGAAGAAGGAATGTTTATTTTCCACATTTTTACTATTCCTTCTACACCTCCACTGAAAATAACATCACTGTATTGAATAGTACATAATGCTGTGACTTGTTTATGTGCTGCTTCTAATATATATTTTGGTGTTTTCTTTGATACTATGTAAACTGACAATGTTCCATCAAATGATCCAGCAATATAAGTTGTTTCATTTAATAAACTTACACATTCAATTTCATTATAAGCATTATAAATTAATTGAGACTCTTCTGATACTTTAAAGATTCTTATAGACTTATCAGATGAGCCAGTTACACATCGTTCTTTAGATAATGCGTCAATACAATTAATATTTGAACGATGTCCATACAATGTATCCATTAAACTAATATTTTCAATGTTCCATACTTTAACACTTCTATCATAACTACAACTATATAATTCATATGTTCCATCTCTAAAAACACATGAAGTAACAATATCTTGGTGACCTTTAAGTGTTCCAAGTAATTGGTTATTAGAACAATCATAAATAAGTATATGATGATTTTTAGTTGTAGCTACAATATATTTATTGTCATGACTAATTGCCAATGATAATATTTCAGGTCTTATTTTTGTTTTATCAATACAAGGAACAGTGAGTTCTCCACAATATTGATTATTAATTAAATCATAAATCATGATTTTACCATTTAATGATGCTACATACACTTTATTTTGTTCATTTTTATTTATTTTAACAGCAGTGCATGCTTTATTTAAATGTCTTGTTGTTTTAGTTATAACTGTAGAACTTAAATGAAGATCATCTGAAACTGATGTTTGTTTTTTACTTTGATCAATTGATTCATTAAATAATGTTTCTAATACACTTTTAGGTTTTGTCTCCTCATCAGTAATTCCAACCATTAATCGTTCATGTTCTTTTTTAATATCTTCAATATGTTTTTGAGCCATAGAAAGTCGTTGTTTATCAGTGTCTTCATTACTGTGATTGTATTTGAATTCAGTTTGAATACGCTCAACTCTTTTTTGTGGTTTAGGTTTTTCAGTTGCCAATCGTTGTTTGAATGGTACAAGAAAAGGGTCACTCATAAATGTTCAAACACTTGATATTAACAGTTCGCAACAAATAAACTTGTTGTCTTTCATTATTTTTGTTATTTCTTTTTAAAAAACCCTAATTTTTTTTAAAAGGAAAATCTGAAAACATAATTTTAAATTCTGTTATTTAAAACATAAATAAACTATCAACGTGGCGTTGTGTTGTAAAACAAAAAGAATGAAAATGCACCACGTCAGACTTTGAAATAAAAGACATGAAGATGAAGGTAGAAGTCATTTAATGAATACAGAAACTGAAAAGAAGTTTGAGTGTGGACATTGTGAATGTGAAGAAGAACACTGTGAGTGTAAAGGAGAACATTGTGGTTGTGGAGAAGGACATTGTGAATGTAAAGAAGAACATTGTGGTTGTGGAGAAGAACATTGTGGTTGTAGTGATGAACATTGTGGATGTGAAGAAGAACATGATGAAGAAGCAATGGAAGAAGAAGTTGAAGAAAGATTTCCAAAGACAGTTGAAGTAGAAGGAACTGGATATGAGAAACCAACTGATGACTGTTTGTGTACAGTTGATTATACAATGTTAGATGGTGATAGAGTTGTTGAAGAGAAAAAAGATTTTAAATTTAAAGTTGGAGATATACCAGTGATTTGTGAAGGATTTGAAAAAGGTGTTGAATCAATGAAACTTAATGAAAAGTGTACATTTACTCTTAAAGCAGAAGATGCATTTGGAAGTTGTGGAGATAAAGAAAGAAACATTGAGCCAAATAAAGAGATTACATTTAAAGTTACACTTAAAGGAATGGAACCTGTTCCAACACCATTTACAATTGCACCAGAGAATATAGTTAAACATGCAGAAGAAAAGAAAGCACAAGGAAATGAAATGGTCAAAAGAAAGTTACAAAAGAGAGCATTAAGATGTTATTTAAGAGCACTAGATTATCTTGATAATGATTATAGAATTCCAGAAGATCAAAAAGAAGCAGCTAAAAAGATTCAAACAATATTATTTGGAAATGTCTCAGCAATGCATCTTCATTTTAAAGAATATGATCAAGTTATTGAATACACAGATAAAGTTCTTGCTGTAGATGCTGAAAATTTAAAGGCATTATTAAGAAGAGGAAAGGCTTATTTGGAAAAAGGACAAATAGAAAAAGCTGAAAGTGACTTTAATAAAGTTCTTTCTATTGATCCAAATAATAAAGAAGTTAAAGCTGAAATGAATGGAATTAAAAGAAAGAGAATGGAAGAAGAAAAGAATGATAAAAAAAGATATGCTAAAATGTTCAGTGTATTAGGTTCACTAAGTGAGGTTGATGAAGAACAAAAGAAATTACAGGAAGCACAAGAGGCACAACGTAAGAAAGAGTGGGAAGAAATTAAAAAGAAACAAGAAGAAGAAGAAAAAAAGAAAGAAGAAGCAAAGAAAATGGAAGAAGAAAAACCAAAAGAAGAGTCTAAGAAAGAAAATATTCCAATGGAAGAAGAAAAAAAAGAAAATTAAATTGATTGATATTTCATTAATTTATTTTTATTTATCTTCCTATAATATATTTATAACCACATAATTCACAGTTCATCATACTTGATGTTGTTGTATTTACGTAAATATATCCTTGACAATATGGATTTGGACAATGAACAATATCTTTATGTTGTTCAACATACATACTTAACAACATATTGTCATATTTTTGATATAGCCCTAAGTCAATCCTTTTTATTTCATTAAGTTCTATTTCAGATTGACATTTATTATGAAGACATCTCATTATTTGGTTGTCTTTAATTGATTCATTTAAATTTGGAGCTAAACAATCTAGACAAAATACATGTTTACAAGGACAGAATTGATAAAGGTTTGTTAATGTTTTACGTTCTTGACATAATTCACAAACATTAGTTCTAATCTTTTCATTTAACACTCTTATAATATAATCTTCTAATTTCTTTTCATTTTTTATTTTCATTAGATTATTACGTATAGTTTTAATATCGTCTTCGGAAAGACCTTCAATAGTGATTCTTGGTAATGGTTCTATTTCATTCTGTTGACTTGGTTGTTGTCTGGATTTAGGGGACGAAAGTTTATCTCTTCTTTTTTTCTCTTTTAAGGATTTTACTGGAGTAAGTGGTAGAATTTGTAAGACTTTTCTTTTCGGAGGTTGAATAGGTGATGACGCTTTCTGTGAATTTTCTTGAGGTGTTTGGGTTTGAGGTGTTTTAGAATTGGTGTATGAAAAATAAACAGAAGACATTGGCCCCAATGCCTTACGTTCATTCAAATAGTCTTTAGTTTCTTTTGCTTGTTCTATTGTTTGGTATGTAGAGAGTATGTACCATGAAGATAGATCAGAAGCAGTTGGTTTGCAAACTATTTTTGTTGGGTGATAAAGTGTATGAAAACAGTTGATGGCTTGTTTTTCATCAACAGAGATGTGATTGGCATATAAAACATTATTCTCATAGGCTCCATAAGATATAGATTGTTTGTACTTCATCAATGAGAAATTATAAGGAACATTATTTTGAATTTGAATAGCAAGGGTTTGTTTTGTCAATGCAACAGCATTTTCATATGAATCAAAGTCTATAAACGCAATAAACCTGTTTGACTTTTTAGAGAACTTAAATCTCAGTGAATTTGATATATAACCAGGGGCATATCTATCTAGAATAAAAAGAAGATTGTTTTGAGTTTGTTTAGAATTGTCAGGAATATCACTAATAAAGACAGAGTTTGGTTGAGTGCTCATATGAATTATTTTTTAGTTAAAGAAGGAAAAGAATAATAAATTTTCAAATTTCATTAAAAACATTAATTTAAATAACGTTATTTAATAAAATAAACAAAAACAAATAATAAGTTAAGTGTTATTTGTTCAAAATTACATTCAGTGAAATAATTTGAAGTAACGTCCATGTAGTTGTAATTTTAAATGAAGAAAGTTAGTTTTTTATTAAGGATAACAAACAAATCAGACAATTTAAAGTAGTTATTTCTTATAAGGATTAAAATGGTCTTAGTTATTATTTTTTATGTATTTTAAAAATATATTTATCATTTTTGTTTACTTATTTATCTTCATTTTACGTTTTACTATCAGTTAAAAGAAGTTTTGTTTTTTTTATTTATTTTCTATTTATAAATTATGTCAAAAATGAGTTAAACACATTTTATTTCTTTTACGTTAAAAAAATATTTGATTAATTTGTGAATATTCTAAATTTTATTCATTTAATTAAGAAATATCATAAGATAAATTAATACAATATATTAGATATTATTAATCTCTCATTAAATAATAATGAAGTTTGCATTAAACAAACAGACAAAATAGACAGTATTAAATTTAATATGTTATTGTTCAAAATAACAAAAATAACGCAACGAAAAAAGAGTACATAATATCTGTATTTTATTAAAATTGTTTAATGAACAATTGTCTTATATAAAATGAGAAGAATAAGTGATTATAAATATATAAAATACAAATAAATTTAATAGTAAAACGATATTTACATTCTGACAATAAAGTTTCAATCAAACTTTGATTCCAAAATATATTTAAATAATAAGTCTTATAGAATTTGAAATATTTGATGAAAAGAAAAAAACATTTAAAAAAAATTTAAAACAAAAAGATAATAATGAAATTGTCAGTTATCTATATCCTTGTTGTAATATTGGAAGGATAAACATAGTAAAAGACTTTGGAGTAGGATTTATGTTTTGATTTTTACAATAGGTTTCAAATTGTTGCACATTATTAGTTGTGATATTGAATAAAGAAGGAATAACTGCAAATTGGTTAGAATTCCATATTGCATTACAAATAGATTCAATTGTTAATGCTAAAGATAATGTATCTGGATTTAATGAACGTTCATAAACAATCATAAATAATTGGAATTGTTCAAAAGTAAGTTCTCCTTTGAATGAAGAAAGATAATTTATAATAATGTCAATACTCATTACTTCCTCATAACTTAGAGTTCCATATTGTTGTTGGATGAAATGTATAATTGACTGTTTAGAAACAAGTCCATTAACATTTAATACACGGAACATCGAAATAGTACGTTTCAATAACTTTGATTCTTTTTCATTATCGGTATCATCTAAATATGGAGAATCACTATCTAGCCAATACCTAACAAAGTTATATAAAGAAAGTTTATTAGTTCCGTCTTCAACATATGCTTTAATAACAGTTTGGGCAGTACTTAAGTCAATAGGGCTATTAAAAATTTTAGAAGTTTCTACAAGAATATCTGCATCAATGCCATGGTGTTGAAAAGTAAAAAAAACTGCTCTAACAAGTCCTTCATTATGACCATATTTTCTAATATTTTCATCGAATGTTTGTGCGATCATATTAATAAGGTCTGGAGTTTTTTCTTCAGCATTAATTAAACGAAGGATTCTATCGCAAAGACTTGTCTCAATTTCTAATTTAGTAAAGAGTTCTTTTAAATACTTTTCTTTATTTTGATATGATGAAGGAAGTAATGGAGTAACTTTTTTTGTTTGAGCAATTTGTAATGGTGGAAGAGAGTGTAAATCAACCATAGGAACAACGATATGTTCACAAAAGTTTTTAAAGTCTAAAATATTATCTGAAATTATTTCAGCATAATGAAGGAACTCAACTAATTGTATATCAGGTGATGTTGATAATAAGTTTGCTTTTCCATTAAGAGTTTTAGTTAAAAAGATTTTAATTCTATCAACAGGAACAGTTCCTTTATAATCTTTATCTAAAACATTGAAAATAGTAGTAAACAATTCTAATATTGTAAAGTGTTGAGTTCTTTCAACAACCCATTCAATAGAAGTACATATTTTGATAAAATCAGATGATGAAATAATATTGTCTTTAACCAATACATTTAATAGCATTACTAATGATGGAACAATAACTTTATCAATTTGAAATATATCAATAAGAATTTTCTTAATATGAGAAGGAGTTAATCCAAGTTTTAAAGAGTCATACTGATTGTAAATTTTTCCATAATACTGTGGTTTTAATTTATAAACAATTTCATTTACTTTTTGTTGCATTGATCTGTGTTCTAATGTATTAAAGGTTTGAATTAAAAATGTTGTTAAGTTTGTTGGAATACCATTTTTTGTTATTTCACCTATACAATGTTCATCTAATCCTTTAAACATCATAAATGTAACAACTTCTTCACTCAACTTTCCCCATCTATGGACATATATATCAAGGTATTGCATCATTTCAACGAATATCCTTTTGGTGATATGATTCGATTTGTTTTTAAAACATCGTACCATTTCATCTATATTAAATTTATTAATTTGATTATAATTGTCTAAAAATTCCATGGCAATTATTTGTTTAATCTCTGCTGTTCCAATAATTCTTTTCTTCATTACTCCAAGTTTACTTTTTTCTTCAAACTGCCTTATAAATCTTTCTCTTGACATCCTCTCCTCTTATTCACTCTTTTTTTTAGTTTTTTTTTTACTTTTTTTTTTGTAAATTATGGCAAAAAATTGGTCAATCAAATATTCTATTATTTAAATGGTGGTGAAATAAAATTATGCTTTCTATCCATTAAACCTATCACCTCTATCATTTAGCTCAATCATACTTCTGTCCATAAACTCAAATGGAATGTTTATCCCATGGTTCATTGATAACTGTGTATCTCTATCCATTATTGATCGGTCAAGCAATGAACCTCTAGTCTCTATTGGTACTTTATCTACGAGAGGTCTATCTGTAGGCATTCCTTGTTCTAAATTATCACGAGGGAAAGGATCACGATCATACCTAGGGTCAGATAAATAACGAGGATCTCTAAGATAACGATTGTCATATCTAGGATCGAATCTAGAGTCGATGATACGAGGGTCACGAAGATCTCTGGGGTCGTTAAGGGAAGGACGAATGTCTGATAAAGGGAGACGTTGATTTCTGTCTAGTTGAGTGCGATTTTGAAGGTCTTGTTGAGTGCGATCGGAGACTTTGTCAAGAGGAGTTTTTGAATCAATAGGAGGACGATCAATAGAAGCAGCACGTTCAAGTGGAGTTCGTTCGTTTGGACGTTCTAGTTGTTGAATCCCACGTTCTAAACGATCATAACGAGTGTCATAATTTATTCTAGGATCAAGTCTAGGATCATTTCTCATATCAATTCTAGGGTCAGTGGTATTGTCATATCTTGGATCATAACGATCATACCTTGGATCATATCTTGGATCATAACGATCATATCTTGGATCATATCTTAAATCAAATCTTTCAAAACGAGGATCATATCTTGGATCAAAACGAGGATCAAAACGAGATGATGAATATCTTGGATCAAAACGAGGATCATCATAATAAGGATCATCATAAGTTCTAGAATATCTTTGATCACGATTATCTTTATCATAACCAAAAGGATAAGGTGCAGGATAACGAGGAATAGGTTTCATTGGAGCTGGTTTTTTTGTTTGATCAATTGCAGTTTTAACATCACGTGGAAGTTCACTAATTCCATTAAATGGTTCTTTTGTTTGATAATTTGTTGTATTTGTTGTTTGATAATATGGATAATCACTTGGTTGTCTATTATCTATATTTTTTAAAAATGGTTCACTTGATCGATATAAAATTGAATCTGGTCCTTTAGTTAAACCACTTGATGAATAAAGCCATCTATTTAATGTATCAAACATTGATGAACATCTATTTGGTTCTATTCCATATGCAATTGATACTTCTTTTGTATATTGTGTAATATCTCGACTTTTTGATGTTTTTTGATATATTTCAAATACTGGTTTTACAAATAATGTATAATATGCTATAAATAAATGTTTATTAGCTCCTCTCATTCGATATTTATGTATATTCCCTAAATATTCATTATAATTGATTTTTTCATTCATTTTCTCTCCACTCCGTTTATTCCCTTGATTCCCTATCTCTCCTCCTCTCTCTCTTCTTTCTTGTTTCATTTCTTGATTACTACTCTTTTGTTCTTGTGGCTGTTTGATCAACATCGACACTCTATTCGTTCCTACTGCTGCTTGTGGTTTATATGGTATATTCCATTCGGTATTCTTATTAACTACAAATATAAATGGATCTCCTCCATTATTAAGTTGTATTTCTTTTAAACTCATTTACTGATATTTTGAGAACTATCTCTTTTGAGTAATTTTTACCTCTGATCTTAATTCCCCCTCAACAGGTATTATTTGATTGGTTTATTTTCTTTACCTGGAATGTTCAACACATTGAGGAATATTCTAAAATCGAACTTTACTTTTATGTTTCGTTTCCTAATTATTTAATAGTTTTAAACTGATTCAATAATAATAAGTTATATCAGTCGAAGATTCTTTAAGATGGTTTCTTATCATTTTTTATTGTTCTTTGAGATGATTGGATTTTTCTAATCAAAGCAACTTCTAAACTTTATTTTTTCCTATTTTCATTGTGACGTGGATACTTTTTTCATTCAGTTTAGAATTGTTTTTGATTTTCATCTTCAAAAAAAATTTTAAAACCAATTAGTAGTTTTTATTTGTATAAATTATAGTAAAATTGTTATTATGAATTGCGTGAGAAAAGATATAACAAACTATAATAGATAACAAAGAAAGTACAAAAAATAAAAAAAATAAAAAGGGTTCATGGAAGAGAATAATCATTATAAAATAAGAAAAAATATGAAACATTTAAAATATAAAGAAACTTAAAGAAAAAAAGATAAATTAAATAAATTAAGGAGGAATGTCTCGATTGGATAAATTACTTGATTTAATCGAAACTGCTCCAACACCTGCTGCTCGTAGAGCTGCAGCTCTTCAATTAGGTGAGATTATTAATTCAAAACCAGAAGAAATTGGGAGATTACTGACACGATTATACCCATATACCATTCACAAAAAATTTGAAACAAGGACTGCAGCTGGAATTGCTGTAGAAGCGATGGCAAAGAATGTTCCTGTAGTGAGATGTGCTCCATTAAAAGAGCCCTGGACTTTTGAAACATTTAATTTAGATGAAATTATGAAAACACATAAAGTATTATTAGCAATGGATGATAGTAAACAAAAAGCACAACCTGTAGAAATAGTTTCAAGTAGTAAATTAAGTACTCGTCAAAAGTTGATGATGAAAAGAAAAGCAAAAAAAGCACAAGAAAAGGAAACTGAAGTTATAGAAACAACAGAAAAATTAGATTTTAATTGTGACGGATGGCCATTTGAATTATTTTGTGAGAAAATGATGCAAAACATATTTGACCCTAAATGGGAAATCAGACATGGTGCAGCTATATGTCTAAGAGAAGTTTTAAGAGCACAATCAAATGCAGTAGGAAAAGAATGGAGAATAGATTTAACATTAAAATTATTATCAGTTATTTCATTAGATAGATTTGGTGATTTTATTTCAGATACAGTGATTGCACCAGTTCGTGATACTTGTGCTCAAGTTATTGGTATTGCTATTAGAAATTTAGGAGATGAAGTTAGTAAATTTATTAAGATTATTTGTCAAATGTATCATAAAGATGAATGGGAAGTAAAACATGGGGCTTTATTAGTATTAAAATATACTGTTGCTATTGTTGATAAAAAACAAATTCAATCAATTTTTATTATAATTAAACCAATTCTAATTGAAGCATTAACAGATGTTGGCCATGATGAATCAGTTGCTGTGGCAGCAGAAGTTATGAGAGAATTAGTAGATTTTATGAAATCTGACTTTGAGCTTATTCAAAAAATACGTTCTTTGTTATGGGATGTTTTAGAAGATTTGGATGAACTAACTGCATCAACAAATAATGTTCTTCAGTTATTAGAGTGTGTTGATAGAATAGCTGCTGAACAAGCCCCAATTCCAATTACAATATTAATTGATCAATATATTCCTAAATTGCTCCCATTTTCTGGACATGTATTACCAAGTGTACGAACAGCAGTAATGGAAACTTATCATAGTGTTTTATCTCAAATTCTTTCACAACTAACTGCTGCTTTACCTCATCAGCCAAAAATTCCTCCAACAGGAAAGTCACTTGAAAAATTATTTTTCCAATGTTGTGCTGCTGTTGTATCTGAAGCTAATGATTATTTACCTACAATAGATGATTTATTGAATGAACCTATTGATAATCCTATTCCACATAATAATCGTCTTCTCCATCATGCTGTAGCTAATGCAGGTTTATTAATTACTATTATTACTCACGCTTTCCCAGAAACAATAAATAACATTGTTAAAGAATTACCAAAATTATTAAGAGTGTTTGAATTAGGTAGTGAAGGTAAAATTGATAAAAAAGTTGTTTCTGTGATTAGTAAAGTAAAACGAGATGCTCCTATTGCAGAACAAAAGGAAAGAATTGACATACTTTTTAATGGAGGAACAATTGTTGCTCGTATTATTGAAGCTGCAAGAAAGGTTGGAAATGATGCTGAAAATTGTATTCTTCAATCACTAAATTCTCCACAATCAATTATGCTTGCTGCATTAGCAACTGAATTTGAAGAAACACATGCACCATTAATTAGAACAAAATTAGAAGAAATATATTCTAATTATCAATATGATGATTTTAATTCATTTGATTGGAAGATGATTGTTGAAACATATAAAGAGAATAGTGCTGGATTAAATTTACCTTCAATTAATAATAGTAGAGAACTTATTCAAATTTTACCTAAATTAAGAGAATTAGTTCCTAATAAAATTTCTAAACTTGAACATTCATTAAAAACATATAACGAAATGGTTCAAGGAGTTATTTGTAGGACAAAAGCAATTGTCATTGGTGCTATTTATCCTTCTGTAAGAGATCCTACTTTATTACATGAACCAATATTAAGAGAATATTCTCCATTATTAACTGAACATTTTACTATGTTATTTCATCGTTTATATCAAAATACAACTGATACACAATCATTAGGATTTTTCTTCGCTACATTAATCGACCATCTTAAACCAATGTATTCTAATATCATAGAATTAATTAACAATGAACAAATTACTTTTTATAATCTTACTTTACCATATTCTTTACATTATTTCTTAAAATTCTTAGCACAAAATATTGAATATAAACATTATTTATTATCAATATTAACTCCACTACTTGTAGAGCCTCCACCTGATGATCCAACAACATCCTTATATTATCCTTTATCAATTTCTGTTTTACCATTTCTTCCTACTTGTCCATTACATGTAGACCATATTAAAACATTATTAAAAAATGTTCATTCAAGTCATGCTTTTCTTATCGCAACAACACTTTCTCGTTTATTAAGATTACATAAAGAATTATTAACTACATTTATTACATTAATATACCCTCAATTATCAGTCACTTCTCCAACATTATTAGCTGCATTACATATTTTCCACCACATGTGTTTATCACCTACAATGGCTACATTATTAATTCCTGTCTTCCCATTATTGATAACTCCATTTTTAGGAGTTATGAATTCGAATCATGAAAGTAATATTAGGAGATTAGGTGCTCAATGCTTTAGCGTTGTACTAAGATATCTTCCACTTCATGTCACTCCACCACCTGATCTTCCTGATAAATTACGTGATGAAATTGAACAAAAGAAGATTTTTATTTCATTCCTTTTTGATGGTATTAGAAGTCAATCTATATCTCAATTTTCTGTATTTAATCATCCAATTAATGGAAAATTAAGACCGTATCAATTAGATGGTATTTCATGGCTTTTATTCTTACATAAATATTGTATTAATGGAATTTTATGTGATGATATGGGTTTAGGAAAAACATTACAAACACTCTGCTTATTAGTTACTGTTCATAAAGAAGCTGAATATCCAAGTCTAATTGTTTGTCCACCAACATTAACAGGACATTGGAAACATGAAATAGAACAATTTATAAGTCAGTCGGACCTCAAAGGAGTTTTGTATACAGGGTCAGTAAAAGAACGGTCTGTTGTTTTAAATTCACTAAGAAAGAAAGATATATTGATAGCTTCATATGAAATGGTTAGACATGACTTAGAACAGTTTAAAACAAAGAGATTTACTTATTGTGTATTAGATGAAGGCCATATTATCAAAAATCCTAAAACAAAATTAACACAAGCAGTAAAACAAATTATTTCATTACATAGATTAATATTAACTGGTACACCAATTCAAAATAATGTATTAGAATTATGGTCATTATTTGATTTCTTAATGCCAGGATTTTTAGGAACAGAAAAAGAATTTAGTGAGAGATATTCTAAACCAATTCTTGCTGCAAAAGATGCTGCTTCTCCAGAAGACCAAGAACGAGGAGTTATTGTAATGGAAAAATTACATAGACAGGTCTTACCATTTATTTTAAGAAGACTTAAAGAAAGTGTACTTCAAGATTTACCACCTAAGATTATTCAAGATTATTATTGTGATATGAGCCCAGTGCAAAGAATGTTATATCAAGAGTTTGAATCAACAAATGATATGGATGAAATAGTTCAACAAAAATCTGACAAGAAACAAAAGAATCATATTTTCCAAATTTTAAATTACTTTAGAAGATTATGTGTTCATCCGATGTTAGTTCTTGATGAACAACATCCAATGAAACAAAAAGTTGATGCTTATTTAAAACAAGAAGGAAAATCGATAGATGATATTACTAACTCTCCAAAATTAATGGCATTAGCAGAATTATTGGAGATGTGTAATATTGGAAAAGATGGAGAACATAGAGTTCTTATTTTTGCTCAAATGAATATTACATTAGAATTAATAGAAAAACAATTATTTGCTAAACAATTTCCTTATATCTCATATTATAGATTAGATGGAAGTGTTCCACAAAATAAAAGAACAGAAATTGTTGATAAATTTAAAATGATCCAACAATTGATGTTTTATTACTTACTACAAGAGTTGGTGGATTAGG